AAAATAAAAATGACCTTAATATAGGAATGCAGTTAACTAAAAACACAAGAAACCCAAAAAATATAATATAATGGTCCATCCAAATTGTTATATTGTATACAATAATAAAATGGAAAAAAAAATAGCAAGGTGAAATTAATCAAATTTATGTACGCAGAAAGAAAGCAACAAATTTCTTAATTTACCCAAAACAAAAAGCAATGAAATGCTTAAGTAAATTCAAATATTAGAAGCTCAACCTGAATCCTAGTTGCCTAAGTGTTTAGTTGTTACTCAATCTCTCTCTTACTATTTATAATGATGCTCTATATGTTGGGTTTATGTGGCATTTAAAGGCCTTATGAGAACTTGTATGAGCATTTTATATAGTGAAACATAAACTTAGTGGGAGTGTGGTCCTCTTGTGGACCATACTAGGCAAATACGTTTTGTCAATACTCGGACTAGGCTCGAAGTGCTAAGCCAACCGAGTTTAGAAAAACCCAAGATACCTGGGCATAGGGATGTACCGAGAAGGGTTTAGTGAGTTAGCCCTTGATGAGGTCGGTGTTTGCCCAAATGAGAGCTGGGGGACTGTGTGGCCATTGTGTGTGATGAATAACCTTTAGAGACAAGGCTAAAAAAAACATCATAGTTATATTATCACATAGCATGTACATAAGAGATTCACCAATAAGGGTGAAGCATATACATGTGCAAGAGATTACCCCTATGCGCCATAGAGTCATAGTTGCATCAAGGTTTGGAGGACCATGATTTTTTTGTCTCTAGGGAGAACTTGAAATCCATAAACTGGGATTGTATTCCCTAGTCTATTAGCTGACTTTAGTGGTCAAATCATGAGCCCCTGCATTGAACTGTGGGGCATGGGAACTGCTGGGTCAGTTTGAGAAAGCTAGGTGGATCGTGGTCTGCAGTTAAAGGGGAAGTGCTTCCGTATATGAATAAATTTCTAGAACTAATGGATCCGATTCACATCAAAATTATTTAATTAATTTTATGATATATAATTTTTAGAATGTTTATTTAAATTTTTGTGAATATTTTGATATTTTATTTTTAACATTTGGATTTATAAATTAAGAGACATTAATTTTTCAATCTTTTAAATAAAATATGAGATTTAAAATTTCTAAATACAAAATAAAGTATTTTCTAAAATTATATGAGACCCTCGGGGTCCCAATTTAAAACATGTGGGATTGGGTGGGGCCCAAGTGTGACCACCAAAGGGTGGCACGCCCCACCCATAGGGACTAACTTGTTCTCCAAGATTGGGTGCCAGTTACCCCTTGTTTGTTTGATTTTCTTTTGGTATAGCCAACTTGCATAATAAGATTAAATATTTGAAATATTTGGTAAATTTTTTAATCAAGATTGATTGATCCAAGAAATTAGGATTGGATATACTAAAATAGATGCAATAAATAAGGTTTGAATGTACTAAAATAGGAAGTAAGATATATATTTTCTTTATTTAAATATTTGATGGGGAATATATCTAGGAAAGAGATGATAAGGTTCTAGCTCATCTCTTTGAATCTTGATGGTGGATCAAAGAGGATGGCTCAAATCTCTCACCTCACAAGTCTTCCTAGATTGAATGTCAAGATTTTACCTTACGAATTGAGGCAAACCCCAATGCATGGAAAATCTATTAAAAGGCTCTCCCACGTCATAAAATCTGTACACCTATTATTTCTTCTCTTTCTAAGGGTTTATCTCTCTCTCTCTCTCTCAAATATCTATCTATAGGTGGCACGCCCCTCCTAGGGCTTTGTGAGGACCACATATTTCCCTGGGAGTGAGACGTGTATGACAAAACATATGGAAGAAGAGAGAGAGAAAGAAGCATCACCGCGAGTGTAAAGAGTAGCGTTGTGTGTAGGAGATGCCTAACGCCATGTGTGTTGAAAAGGCCTAGTGTCGTTTGAGAAGAGAGAGGAGAACGCCACGTGTGAAGCGGGGTATCGTCGTGCGTGAATGAGAGTAACGCCGCATGTGTAAGGGACTAATGCCACGCTAGAAGGGAAGGTAGCGTCGTGAGTAAAAAGGGAGATTTGACCACTGACAATGCCACACGTGTCAGCACCGCTTGTGTCAGTACCACACACGTCACCTACAGTGACCTTCACATACTCTGAATACTTAAACCATTTTCTCTTCCTCTCCAGCGCCATTTTTTTTTCTTCCCTCACTTACTCTCTCTCTCTCTCTGGAACCAGACCAACTGCCCTTAGAGGAAACCATTTATGGGAGCTTGAGGTAACCTGTGCGTGGGAGGTTGAAGACACCATGAGCATCAAGCAAGTGGATTTAGGGTTCATGCATCGATTAACTTGTTAGTAACCAATTTCAAGGATTAACGACGAGAAAAACAATGGAATAAAGAGTATGAATGTCGTTGAATAAAAATGAGTTTGAATGATTGTTGTAGTTTTGCCAATGAACTTGTTAAGTTTATGAAGTAGTCCACTTGCAAGATTTGTTTAACATGAATAGGGTTTTACATTAAAGCTTATCTTGGCTTATGAAGTGTTGCATTTTAATTTCAGCATGCTAAACTTTAAAAGTATGTTTTCAGGAATTGTGAGGGTTTTTGCATCGAATCCTTCGGTGACCAAACGATGTCCAAATGGGCTCAAACCGATCTTGAATGAAATGTATGTTTGTATACAATAATATTACATTTTTTACACTGATAAAACCTTGCATAGATCTAGAGTTATGCCCAAAGTATTGGGGGCAAACCACTGTTAACAGTAGATGGAAGTTCTAGCCACTATCACTAACTTTGCGTTGCAACGCCGTGCATGTATTGTCGTTTATACAACGCCATGCGTGTATTGCTGCTTGTATCCTCGCTTGTCCAACATCATGCTTGTATTGCCACTTGTGCAACGCCGTGAGGGTAATGCTGCTTGGGCCACGCTGTGCGTGTATTGTTGCTTATGCAATACCGTGCATGAAACGTCGCTTGTGTAACGCTGTGTGTAATGCCGCTTGTGCAAAGATGGGTGCATAATGCCGAGAGAGTAAAGCTATGCATGTAGCACTGGTTGGGTCACTGCCACATGAGCGACGTTTGCGACCGGAATGATAAATTTCATGTGATGAATATTAATTGCCATCTTGTTATGTGAATGATACCATGCAGCTATGCGTTACACGAAAATTGATGAATGACCTGCTACTGTGATAGTTCCATGACGTATGTTACATGGTAAGTATCGTAATACTAATGCTGAATTCTAATGTAAATTCAATATGATAGCTCTCATATAATGGGTAATTCCTAATAAACATCATAATGTTATGTGACTGATGGATAGTTCTGAGCAAGACTCACACTTTGCATAATGAGGATTGAATTATCTGTAGGGTACTGTTTCGGCATGAATGAATTGAATGCTTGAGCGTAATATGATGTCGTGATCTTGACCACCATGCAATGGGATACCCATTGGTAGTAGGTACTGTTCTATTATGATATTGTGATACTACTACTATCATACCGTGACAGTAATACTGGCCATTGCGTGATGGGGTACCCATCGGTAGTGGATACTGATACATTGGGACTAATGATGCTGGCTATGTCCCCTAACTTGTTGAATGATATGATGGAGTTAGGGGAAAGTGAAATGGGAGGGTCGCACCCCTCAAAGATTCATGAGATGAGACTAGTAACTGACGCCTTGTGGGTATGAGAGCATTACGAAGTGGATTTACCCACTTGTCATTGCACTCCCTCCTGAGTGATGGTAGAGGTCCTAAGCAATGGGATTGGCTTAGCCTGATTGATAGGGCCTCTACTTCGGGAGGAGGTGAACTATGGAGTGTGTGGGTAATGATTAAATTATGATTGTGAATGTTGACAATTGTAATGATGGTATGATAAATGACACTGAATATTGATGTTCTGATATGATTTTTGACATATAGGACCGTCGTATTATGACTTTTCATAATTGGAAGAACACCTTATGATGCATGAGTAGACTCACTAATGATGCATGGCACTTAGATCTACTTACTAGGCTTTATAGCTCATCCCACTATATCTCCCCTCTTGTAGATTGCTTGCAAACCGGTCAAGGGTCTGAGATGCGAGGTTCGCGTTTGGAAGTCGAGGCTGCACTCTGCTAAGAATAAATTATGATATTGTATGTAATCGGGCAGTTAGTCTTGAATTTTGTTTATTTTGGAAAGATGTATTATTAGGCCCAGCTGTCCCAGACTTAAGTGTAATGTTTTTGGGAAGAAATTTTACGTATTGTAGTTTTAGTGAGGATAGATTTCTCGAAAGTTTAAACATTTATTTGAATTTAGAATCATCGATTTAGTTCTTTGCTATGGTTTGCTTTGATTACTGATATAACGACACTGAGTCAGCTCTGACCTGAGTGACATGTGCTACTTCTGGATCACGAACCTGCTCTCGGTCATCCTCCGTCGAGTACGAAATAGGGGTTGGGGGCCAGATCGTGCCAGTTATAGTATAAGAGCAGCCAAGATAGGATATTTGGCCTAGGGGGATTTTAGAAGAGTCCTTAGGATAGTTTTAGGTATAAGCCAATGATTGGGTGCTCCTGTGTTAAGTTGAATATGCTGAGGGCTCGTACCAACAATTGGAGTTTCAGCAATGAGAACATCGAAATGCTCGGTGAGTTTTATAGGATTCTGGAGGCAATGACCTAAATGATGAAGGAGTCGATGACAGCTCAGTCTACACCTACCCCAGAGCAAAACGACAGTGGCGCTTGATAGAAATATTTAGAAGGATGACGCCCTCAAGCTTTTTGGGGCAAGGAGGAGTAGAGAAGGCTGAGAGGTGGAAGAGATAGATAGAAAATATTCTAGAGGTATTGCACTGCTCAGATGAACAAAAGGTCAGGTTGGGAGCCTTTATGTTGGAAGGGGAGGCTGAATATTGGTGGAACTCGGTGAAGCAATCTTAGAGCAAATCAGGGACTGAGACCACTTGGGACAACTTCTTGATGGCATTCGATGAGAAGTATTTCCCAGACTCCGTCAGGGAGAGGAAGAAAGTAGAATTTATTGAGCTTCAGCAAGGGGGCATGACAGTGGAGCAGTACGCCTCTAAGTTTGCAGAGCTGTCTAGATACACACCCCACATTATCAACATCAACACGCGAAAGGCGGCCAAATTTGAGAGGGGCCTTCGGTCGGACATCAGAGGGAGAGTATTGTTGGCCAATTTGAAGTTATACTCCCCTTTAGTAGACCTCGCCCTAAAGATTGAAAGGGACTATGAAGACCACAGATCAAGGAAGGAAGGAAAGATGAAGGTCGTACCATCGAGAAAGTTTGGGAAGAAGCCCCGACAGATCCCAAGAAGGGATGTTAGAGAAGGAGCTTACAAAAATTTCCCGGGCAACAGAGAGAATGATCGACACCCGGTCTGCCCTCATTGTAGGAAGGATAACCATTCGAGTGTTACCGAAAGTAGAATATATGCCACCGGAGTGGCAGGCCTGGTCATTGGGTTAAGGATTGCCCTATGGAAAAGGCAGATGATCAACTGAAGACACAAGGGTGAGTGTTTGCCCTCACTGAACAGGAAGCTAAGGTATCTACCTCGGTGATCAGAGGTGTGTCTCTATTTGTGGTATTAAAGCTAGAGCTCTGATTGATTCTGGTTCCTCTCACTCTTTTGTTGCACCTCATTTTGCCTACTATCTAAATGTTGAACCTACATGTCTTGATTATACTCTAACAGTGTGCACGCCTGTAGAGGATTCTATGGAAACTGATAGAGTGTATCGAAAGTGTGGAATTACAATTGATATGTGTGACCTGCCCGTAGATTTGATCCTCCTAGAGATTCAGGATTTCGATGTTATTCTGAGCATGGATTGGTTGTACACACACTATGCCACCGTCAATTGCCATGAGAAGAAAGTAACCTTTAAACGCCCTGCTCAAGCTGAGCTACACTTTGAGGGTACTAGGGATACTTCCCCTCTGCACTTTATCTCTACTCTTAGGGCCTCTCGCCTCCTAACTAAGAGAAGTGAAGGTATCCGGCCTATGTGGTTGAAATCGGGACGTCCAGACCCAGCTAGAAGGAATACTAGTAGTGAGAGAGTACCTCGAGGTCTTCCTGGAAGAGTTACCATCCCTACCTCCAATAACGGAGGTTGAATTTGAGATAGATGTAGTCCCTGACACTGCTCCCATTTCTAAGGCCCATATTGAATGGCTCCAACAGAGTTGACAGAGTTGAAAGAACAGTTGCAGGAATTGTTACACTAGGGATTCGTCCGACCTAGTGTGTCACCCTGGGGTGCATCAGTCCTATTTGTGAAAAAGAAGGATGGATCCCTGAGACTGTGCATTGACTATAGGCTGTTGAACCAAGTAACAGTAAAGAATAAGTATCCCCTGCCTAGAATTGATGACCTTTTTTACCAACTCCAAGGGGCTTAAGTGTTTTCAAAGATTGCTCTCCGCTCGGGTTATCATCAATTGCTGGTCAAAGAGGGAGACATCTCAAAGACCACTTTCAGAATTCGATAAGGTCACTATGAATTCCTCGTAATGCCGTTCGGGTTGACCAATGCCTCTGCTGTATTCATGGACTTGATGGATAGAGTGTTCCGACCTTTTTTAGATGATTTCGTAGTGGTATTTATCGACGAAATTTTTGGTATATTCGAAAAGCTCGGAACCACATGGACAACATCTGAGAATGGTTTTGCAAACTTTGAAGTCAGAAAGATTGTATGTTAAGTTAAGCAAGAGTGAATTTGGCTCCCTAGTTTATCTTTCCTGGGGCACATTATTTCTGAGGATGGGATCACGGTTGACCCCTCTAAGATTGAAGTCGTACTTAAGTGGGAGAGACCAATAAATGTGACCGAAGTTTGTAGTTTTCTAGGGTTAGCCTGATATTACCAGTGCCTTTTAGAGGGATTCTCAAAGATAGCACTCCCCCTTACTCGGCTGACCCAGAAAAAATTGAGGTTTGTGTGGTCAGAGGATTGTGAGAGAAGCTTCCAGGAAATTAAGAAGAGACTAACCACTGCCCCAATACTGACCTTACCTGAAGGAAATGAGGACCTTGTGGTTTACACCGATGCGTCCCATAAAGGGCTCAGATGTGTACTCATGTAGAGAGGTAAAGTCATTGCTTATGCCGCCAGGCAGCTGAAGCCATATGAGCAAAATTATCCAACTTATGACTTGGAGCTTGCGGCGATAGTTTTTGCTCTGAAAATCTAGAGTCATTATCTATTTTCTTAAAAGGAGTTGAACATGAGGCAAAGGAGATGAATGGATCTACTAAAAGACTACGTCTGTACAATCAATAACCATCCAAGAAAAACTAACGTAGTAGCCGACGTTTTAAGTCAAAAAGCCGTAATATCAGTGGTGCACCTAATGGTTCTAGAAATGGGATTACTGGAGGGTGCAGTGGAATGGCACCCAACCCTACCCCTTGAGAATAGGGTTGGGACACTTTCGTGTATAAGGATAGAGCCCCAGCTCTTCCAACAAATCCGAATGGCACAAAAAGAAGATCCTCAACTTGTGAAAATTCTTGAAGAAATGAAAGTGGAGGAAGGAGAGGATTTCATCATAAACAATGATGAGTTATTAAGGTTTAAGGGCCGAGTGTGTGTTCCTAATGACAAAAGTGTAAAAAGGGATGTTCTAGAAGAAGCCCACCACGCCCGTTACACGATATACCTTAGGAGTACAAAGATGTACCAAGATATGAAAAAGACCTTCTGGTGGAACAACATGAAGAGAGATGTGGCTCAGTTTGTCGTTAAGTGCTTAACGTGTCAGCAAGTGAAGGCGGAACATCAAAAACCCACCAGGCTATTGCAACTCTTACTCATATCAGAGTGGAAGTGGCAACACATTACAATGGATTTTGTTTCTGGATTGCCTAGGTCAAGTGCTGGACATGATAGTTTCTAGGTCATTGTGGACCGATTAACTAAGGCTACTCATTTCTTACCGGTTCACACAACCTATACTCCAGATAAATTGGCCCAATTATACATCAGAGAAATTGTGAGGTTGCTTGGAATACCTATCAACATCGTATCCGATAGGGACACCAGGTTCACCTCTAGATTTTGGGCATGCTTGCAGTCAGCCTGTGGAACTAGACTTGCTTTCAACACCGCCTTCCACCCCCAGATAGATGGGCAGTCAAAAAGGACCATTCAAACTCTGAAAGACATGTTGAGGGCGTGTATTACTGATCTTAAGGGAAGCTGGGAGGACCACCTGCCCCTAATAGAGTTTTCCTTTAACAACATCTTCCAAGCTTGCATTCACATGGCGCCTTATGACGCTTTACATGGAAGGAAGTGTAGATCACCCATTTGTTGAGATGAAGTGGGCGAACGAAAATTGTTGGGGCCTGAAATTGATCAAATGACCTCTAAGAAGATTACCTTAATTCGGGAGCGGCTTAGAGTAGCCCAAAGTCGGCAGAAGAGTTACACCGATAATCGCAAGACAGACCTCGAGTTTGAAGTAGGTGATCGAGTCTTCCTAAAAGTATCGCCGACAAAGGGCATTATGAGTTTCGGAAAAAAGGGGAAACTGAGCCAGCGATTCATTGGACCTTTTGAAATCTTGGAAAGAGTTGGAAACATGGCGACCTGAATTGGAAAACATTCACAATGTTTTTCATGCTGTTGAGAAAATATCAACCTGACCCATCCTATGTCTTGAAGTACGAACCAATCCCGATCAGAGAAGACCTGACCTATGTTGAGCAAACGATTGGGATATTAGATAAGAGGGTACAGGTTTTGCACAATAAAGAAATTCCCCTAGTCCGGGTACAATGGCAATATCATTCAAGAGAAGAATCAACATGGGAACGAGAGAACAAAATTCGGGAGAAGTACCCCCACCTTTTTTATTAACAAAAATATGATTTTGAGGACAAAATCCGTTTTAAGGGGGGGATGTTATAAGGACCACAGATTTTCCTGACAGTGAGACGCATATGATAAAACACATGGAAGAAGAGAGAGAGAAAGAAGCATCGTCGCGCTGGTAAGAGTAGCGCCATGTGTAGAAGATGCCTAGCACCGTGTCTGTGGAAAGAGCCCTAGTGTTGTTTGTGAAGAGAGAGGAGAACGCAGTGCGTGAATGAGAGTAATGCCGCTCGTGTAAGGAACTAATGCTGCACGAGAATGAAAGGTAGTGTTGTGAGTAAAAATGGAGATTTGACCACTGATAGAGCTGCACGTGTGAGCACCGCCTACGTTAGTACCGCACACATCATCTACAGTGACCTTCACCTACCTTGAATACTTAAACCCTTTTCTCTTCCTCTCCACTACCATTTTTTTTTCTTCCCTCACTTACTCTCTCTCTCTCTAGAACCAAACGAACTGCCCTTGGAGGAAACCATTTTTAGGCGCTCGAGGTAACCTGTGAGTGGGAGGTTGAAGACACCGTGAGCATCAAGTAAGTGGATTTAGGGTTCATGTATCAATTAACTTGTTAGTAACCGATTTCAAGGATTAAAGATGATAAAAACAATGGAATAAAGAGTATGAATGTAGTTGAATAAAAATGAGATTGAATGATTATTGTAGTTTTGGAAATGAACTTGTTAAGTTTATGAAGCAGTCCACTTGCAAGATTTGTTTAACATGAATAGGGTTTTGCATCAAAACTTATCTTCACTTATGAAATGTTGCATTTTAATTTCAGCATGCTAAACTTTAAAAGTGAGTTTCCAAGAATAGTGATGGTTTTTGCACCGATTCCTTCGGTGACCAAACGATGTCCAAATGGGCTCAAACCGATCTTGAATGAAATGTATGTTTGTCAACTATAATATTGCACTTTGTACCATGGTAAAACCTTGCAAAGATCTAGAGTTATGCCCAAAGTGTGGGGGTCATACCACTGTTTGCAGTTGATGGAAGTTTTAGCCACTGGCACTCACTTTGCGTTGCAACGCCATGCGTGTATTGTCGTTTGTGCAATGCCATGTGTGTATTGCCTCTTGTGCAACATCGTGCGCATATTGCCACTTGTGCAACACCATGCGTGTATTGCCGCTTGTACAATGTCGTGCAGGTATTGCTGCTTGTGCAACGCCATGTGTGTATTGTCGCTTATGCAATGCCGTGCGTGTAACGCTACTTGTGTAACACCGCGCATAATGCCGCTTGTACAAAGCTGTGTGCGTAACGCCAAGAGAGTAAAGCCATGTGTGCAGCACCGGATGGGTCACAGCCAAATGAACGACGTTCACGACCAGAATGATAAATTTCATGGGATGAATACTAATTGCCATCATGTTATGTGAATGATATACCATGTAGCTATGCGTTACGTGAAAATTGATGAATGAACTTCTATTGTGATAGTTCCATGATGTATGTTACATGACAAGTGCCGTAATACTAATGTTGAATTTTAAGCGTAAATGCAATATGATAGCTCTCATATAATGGGTAATTCCTGATAAATGTCATAATGTTATGTGACTGATGGATAGTTCTGAGCAAGAATCACACTTTGCATAATGAGGATTGAATTATCTGTCATAGGGTATTGTTTCGACATGAATGAATTGAATGCTTGAGCGTAATATGATGCCGTGTTCTTGACCACTACGCAATGGGATACCCTTTACTAGTGATTACTGTTCTATTATGATATTGTGATACTGCTACTGTCATACTGTGACTGTGATACTGTTCATTGCGCGATGGGGTACCCATTGATAGTGGACACGAATACATTGAGAATAATGATGCCGGCTATGTCCCCTAACTTGCTGAATGATAGGATGGAGTTAGGCGAAAGTTAAATGGGAGGGTCGCACCCCCCGAAGATTCATGAGAAGAGACTAGTAACTGACGCCTTGCAAGGTAAGTGCCTATCGAAAACCCCAATATGTGCTGAGGACCGTGTGCATGGGTATGACAGCATTACGAACTGGATTTACCCACTTGTTATTTTCCTCCCTCCTGAGCGATGGTAGAGGTCCTAAGCAATGGGATTGGCTTAGCCTAATGGATAGGGCCTCTACTTCAGGAGTAGGTGACCTAAGGAGTGTGTGGGTTAAATTATGATTGTGAATGCTGACAATTGTATTGATGGTATGATAAATGACGCTGAATACGATGTTTGATATTGATGTTCTGATA